ATTGGCGGGAAATTTGATTACAACATAAAACCACTGCCAAGCACGAGGGACTAAAGCAGCAAATATTTCACGCATCGGATAGTGTAATAGGATTCCGTCTATTCAATTGGATATTCCGTTAAATTTAGATACATTTTCGTCTAATTAGCAAATTACTCGTATTAGTTCTAAATAATTGTCTGTATTGTATTATTATATTATTATACTTTTCCTTCCAGTCAAAGCATAAGGGTACATCACGTGCACTATTTCTCTTTCTTCTCCATTCTCTCATCTACTTTCCTTTTCCAGTCTCTTCATGTTCTAGTGTTTAAAAATAGTTATTAATTAATTTATTCTTTTATATTTTAAATTAAAAAATACACGTTTCATAATTTTAGGAAAAACTATAAAGAAATAGTTAATTATTTCTATGTTTAAAATTGGTTGCTTCTTGAATATCTCGCGATGCCGGTTGAATATATGTGCGAATGACGGAATCGTATTGGCGTATTCGAAATTTTAATATCATTATTTTTTAAAAATTATTAATTGCACTTTATAGATTAATTAGAGAATGTAGAGGCTGGTATTCAAAATCACTCCAATAAAAAATTGCAAACATGTGTATTAAATGAATAAACCCTAGTATAAGAAACTAGGGTTAGCATAAACAAACACTATCTCATGAGTTGCATTGTGTTGTTTTATTATTATTAATTAAAATATAAGTGAAAAATCATAATGTGGTGTCTAAATATGGATACTCTAGGAATTTTCTTTAAATAAAGAGAATATATAAACTTAATTTCTAGTAATAAATAGAAATAAATAATTTTTGTGTAATTTTTGTACAAAATTGTTGCTAATCTGAATTTTAAAAACTTTGTATGAGCTAAGTTACCATATTTTCAAGATTTGTGTTACTCCTCCTTAAAGTTTACAGATACCTTTGCTGAAAGTTTTAAGAATTGTAATTGAGTTGGTTAATTATACTTGGACTGGGCCATGCTATTGCTAAAGTTTGGGGACTAGGAGGGTATTGTCTCGGACGAAATGGGTGAGCAATTGGGTATGAGCTAACCGTTGGTGAAAGACCATAAATCCGCAGCGGTAGACCCTAGATGGGTATTTGGAGTTGAATTCCAACTAGTTGAAGTGGGAGAGATAGTTGGGGTCGCTCTAGTTGTAGTGAAGATGTTTGATGAAAGGTCCAAATGAAAAAGTATATTCTTTATCAACTCAATTAAAGGTTTTGGAGCTATTCAACAAATTAAGTTAATAAGTTTTGTTGTGTACAATCTAATCATTTTGTGACTGATTTTTATTGTTAAATTGGAAATTGCGTTTTTGCTTAAGTAGATCATGTGCCAAAAACCTCATGGAGGCATTGGTTAAAGGTTTTCCTACCGGGCGTCGTCTCATTCCTAACCATTTCAGGTATTGTCACCTGAGATGGTGGATGTGGACATGCTAGCTGCTATCTATGATTTGCTTTCATTCTGAAAACCTTTGGATGGATGAAGCTTATGCGTATACCTCATGGCGTGAAACTGATAGTATAACCCATGCTTGGATTTGCTCTTAATGTGTTTATCTCTTGTTCTGCTGATCTGAGACGATAACATGACCCTTAGTTGTATATGTTCCTTTCACGTGATCGAGATAAAAGTTTAGTCGTGATATGGTGGTTTGGGTTTTGATTGGAGTGGCGTAGCAGAAGCTTGGGTGATGTTACTTGTATATATATTTTTTTAGAAATTGTTCTTATTTGCTAAATAATCATATGCTTATGTTACTGGAAACACCATAGACTCTTTTCATGCTTGACATTATATTATGCAAAACAGGGACCTTTATTTTATTGGAAAATAATGTTTTTTATAAGGATCTGTAGAGATCCAAATGCTTTCAAATTTTAATCACAGCCTCCTTTATCCATCTAGTATTGCTCCATAATATTTTTATAAAAATCCGACAGTCCATGCTATCTATCTTTAAATCGCAGCTGGAAAACAGGGTTTTAATGGATTATTTGACCAACTTTTTGACACCTAATCATTACCAAAACTTCCAGATTTATTCTTTCGTAATATACTTTCAAAATAAATTTAGTTTTCCCAATTCAGAGATCAAACGAATTTTCTAAAAATTTTGGAAGTATTTAAGATGCCCAGATTTTCTTCGAACTAAGTTCTGCTTATTTACTTCTCAAATCTGATTTAATTGGAAAATATTCAGTCTCCGTGAGTGGCTCAGCTGTGTTTCACTTTGAATCTAGTTTTCAAATCATTTTGGTTTGCTCAGTTCTGATTTAAAATGAATTTTCTATAATTTTCTGATTAACCACTACGCAGATTTTTGTTTGACGTTGTTTGGGACCCAATAAAATTGGTGTTTAACAGAGTAGCACAACGGGAGTTTGTTTGAGGTTATTAAAGTTTGTTTGGGACAATGAATGGACTTTGGATTTGTAATTGGGATTATTTTTGGTAATTTTATTCGGACAATTTCCAAATCATGTTTTGTGATTGCCCCTAATTTCGGGTCGTTACAGGAACTGTATTGAAACGCCTGAATTTTGTGGAGTTCCTATAACTTCTTCCCGTTTGAAAGTTACGTTATGGTCATTTGAAGTTTGGGCTGATCCTTGGAGGGGGTTGTGTAAGTACCATCTAAGAAAAAAAGAAGAAGTTTGGACTGATTTCTATAGCTTTCAATTAGGCTTTTGATGGTCCAATAGTTCCAAATAATCCAACACACCTATTTTGTATCAATATTGTTGCCAAAGCAAAAGAATTAAAAATACATTGCTTAGATGGTCTGCTTGGAGGACAAGACTAAAGATAGATTTTATATTTTCTATTATTTTGCACAATGTGGCTACTTTGAGACTCGGATCTGCATTCTCACAATTGTCAAAGCGAAGCTTTTACTGTTGAACCAAGCAATGACCCCTTAATATTTTAAGGGGTTATTGTCTTAAGAAGCAGTTACAATTTAATAATGCTTTTTCCATATTGAGTTACATATTAAGAGTGCTTTCTGTTGGTGATTTGCATTATGATGTAGGGCTACCAGTAGATAGGATGAACAAAAGGGTTCTGTTAATGTGTATAATCCTAAGGGTTGTGTTAAAAGGACCAAATCAATTATTTTGGTGCTGAACTTCTTAAAATTAGTTAACTGGTATAAGCTCATGGGCAAGAGAAGCACGGCAAAAATTTCATTTTCAGTCATAAAAATGCATAATAGTGCTTGTTATCTTCATTCTATTATTTTCAGTGCCATTGCACCAAGGAATTTACCTATCACTTTGCTGAAAAATATAGGGTTGTTAGATGGAATAAGATTAATTGGTATTCTCATTGCACCAAGGAATTTACCTATTGCTTTGCTGAAAAATATAGGGTTGTTAGATGGAATAAGATTAATTGGTATTCTCATAGATCTTAATAACAAGCTTATGTTAGACTCATGAAAATTGCTAGAAGACGTGTGGTGGTCTAGAAACATTTGCACTACGGCCATAGGATTTAGTGTAAGCTTAAGCTATTAGAGAGGGTGTAACTTAAATATATAAATCCTTCAACACGCCCCCTCACGTGTGGCCTTCTTTTGGTCCAACACGTGTTTTTCAATTTTTTAATTAGGGTGACGGTGAGGTTTGAACTTGAGACCTTTAGCTCTAATACCATGTTAACTACCATCTACTCCAAATTGTTAGAGAGGGTGTAACTTAAATATATAAATCCTTCAACATTTAGTTGTAGGCTAACATGTCCACTAAATTATTGCCCGGCAAAGATGTGCACTCCCTTAACACTCATAAGGAAATAGCTATATGTATTTTGAAAAATATCTTAATAAAAATATAGTGCCAATTCAATTGTCTCATTTAAATTTTGTGTCTTATAAAAATTCAGCACTGGATGCTGCACATTTATTGGTGTAAACTTAGTGCTGGAAAGGGGAAATTGTTGGTCCTTTGCTCTGAATAAGGAACTTATAAATAAGCCATGTTAGTTGGAAATCTTAAAATTTGCATAATACACGTTGTTGTTCCTTTGTTCTGAACAGAAAACTTGGTTGTTCACAGTATTTCTGCATCTAATTTCTGTTTGTATGGCATTGCTTGTGGGTCACAAATTGTGAATTAGATCCTGGAAGCCTTTGGCATGCATGTTTGGTATACTAAAAATGCAACACAGTTCTCATATCGGCACATTATACATGCATGGGACTTTGGGAGGCATTTGTTTCCAAATACATACTAGAAACAGATTAAGCATTTCAACCTTATCCATTGTTGTCGTTGATCTCAATGTGGACGTTACTTTACATGGAAAACCTTATATATTCTACTGTTGAAACCATTAAATCAATTCAGTTTTTAGAGTAAAACAACCTCCATATCACCCCCATATTTTTTGTTTTCTTTTTCTTTTTATTTTTTTTCCTCTTTGGGTTTATATTTTGAAAGTGAAGTTTTGATCAATTAGTTCATTTCTATTTACTATTTCTATGTTCGTCTCAAATGGGGTGTTGTCTTGTACCAAGTTGATTTTAAATCTACTCATTATCATTGACTTGTATACCTTTTGAAATAATTTTCGTGGTCTCACTAGTTTATTTTCATGTCATTTTGTCTCAATCACATATTTCTCTAATAATAAATGATTGAGGTGCACAATATTTTCTTACAATCTTGTACTCGACTATAGTTTTCTGCACATTATTGATACATATATACATAGAGAAGTTTATCACAGTTGAAAGTTCCATTACAACTTTAATAATCATGGGCATTACCTCCTCTGAAAGTTCAGCTTTGCTATGGAATATGCAAAAACAGATGCAAAGACTAGTGGGTAAGCAAAGAGAACTAATGCTACGATACCTAAATTATTTTTTTTGATACCCATAATAACTTTCTAAGAATGTATTGATTGCTTTACGTTCTCCGAACACTATTATTTCTTCATCTATATCTCCATATTGTGAAGTAAGAAGGCCTATCGGGGACCAGGCTGTTGGGCAAATCCAGTAACACCAAGCCCACCATTTTGGAATTTTCTGTAAGAGAAAAAATATTAAGATAGTTAGACTAGTTGAAATTGAATTTTAATTATAATATGGAACTAAAGACTCTTGTAACAGGTTTCTATCTTATTTGTTTTGAAATTTAAGATGGTTAGCATAATACTAGGAAAATACGTAGGCTGAGGAAATAATAATTATTTTCATCTTCAATTACTCATAAAAAATATATATATTTTTACGACTTCAATTGGATAAAAAGGCATAGTTTTGCCTTCTAGACTTTTTGGCTTTGACATCATAAAAGTTGAATACATGAATGGTGTTGTAAGTGCTCAATTAATAAGTTGATAAAACAATTATCAGGTTCAAGAGAGTCAGAATTAACTTACTGGTCCTGGTATGATGTATCCTGCGAACAAATTCAATATGGTGTAACAGAAGGCTGCCAGCGCTGAAGCGACTTGGAAGTTTGGGGTCAATGAAACAAGCATCATCCCAAGGTAAGTGAAGTAGAGAGCATTGTACAAAACATTGTGTAGAAGTACCAAAATACTTTGTCTACCGAGAGGTCGAAATTTATTGCTGGATATGTTATTATCACAAATAAAATTGCTTGAAGAAATATATATGGAATTTCAATAGTCACCTGCAATATAAGAAATATTATGTTCGTATGAAAATATGCAAATTTATTATTATTATTATTATTATTTTATAATAATTATTGTTATTACTTGTATTTTATTATTTGTATTCTTGACCTTTAGAAATTCTAAAATATGCTTATGAACATTTTTGAACCTGTGCAAATGAGTAGGCCCATGAGGAGTACATTCCAGTGAACCTCTCTCTGTATACAATGATGCGCTCAGTAGCTATAAATGGTAGAACTGATGAACAGTTGCCTATTCCCAGGAATTGTACTAATATGAACATTGCTCCTAGGATATTGAACAAATCCTGTTCTCCATTTCTTCAGAACAAAGATAACAAAAATCAGCATTTAAGATGTTAAAAATGTAAATGCGTATAATAGCAGGTTGCTGTAAAAATAATTAAAAAAAAAAAAAAAATGAAAATGTAACTTTTATGTTGTGTCATGAAGAACTGGTCTGTGTTATCTCAGAATTTTGAAAGAAACTTCTTCTTTTTAAATCATATCTCCCCCTAAAACGAACAGTAATAGCAACGTACTGCCTGTTTATTGACATGTTATTATATGCAAATCAGTTGGATCTGAAAAACGATGGCTTACATTTGCTTTCCTTTTTGCCAAAGAAGTGCTCCAAATACCAAAGAAGCCATGGTCATAAATGGTAATCGCGCCAAGTTATATTTGGGACTCCTCCAATAGGTGAGGTGATGTTTCCAGAGACATGCTTTGAATTTTTTCCATCCATTTTGCGAAAAGCGAGTAGAGAAATGTAAAGCATTTGAACCTTGTGCTGGGCAGTTCAGTTCATTAACCAGTGCTTTGGTTTCCCTACATACAAAAGAACGTTATTACCTGATTTATTTATTTTTCTAGGTTTTCGTATATCAACCAATGTGAAAAACCAACATCTTAAAGAGTGTCAATGAGAGTCTCATAAATAATGCTTATGCTTACCGACATAGATGAGACTCTTTGTAGAGTTGGGCAAAGTCTAAACCATGTTGTGCTTCTGAAGATGTACTTGTAACCTCTAACATCCACGCAGGGATGTAATTTTCGTGGATTTTTGGCATTTCATCAATGCTCTGCCATAAAACACTCTAGTTCTTTAGTGATTATGGTTTTCATTTCTCTGGGTTATGATTAAATGCTAGTTATGGAGTAGTTTGGTATAAGTAGTATATTTTCGTTATTGCAATACCACCTTTGTTCTTTATTAAAGGGAAGAATCAACCTGGTTGCAACTATAGAATTATTTGGAACAAAGAAGGCCATTGTCTAGTGTTAGTGTAATTTGCACATTGGCTGCTTTAATTAATATGGAGAAGGAAAACATAAAGTTAGAATGAGGGAAGAGGTGCACGTCATTGTTGCTTACCTGAAAATATTTTATAAGTTCACTTGAATGCTGCCCCAACTCTCCGGAATATATTATTTGTCCTCCTCTCTTCATTAAAATTAGCTGCAAAAATAATAAAAATAATAAATAAATAAATCAGATTTTTCCAATGATATTACTCTTATTTAGTAAGTAATAAGTAATCGTATCCAGAAAAAAAGGCAAACCTAGTGCACGGGGGTTAGATGTACTCAGCCTTACCCTCGCATGCGGAGAGGCTGTTTCCTTGTTTCGAATCTGTGACCTCCAGATCACAATGGAGCAACCTTACTGTTGCGCCAAAGCTCACCCTCTAATCGTGTCCAGAATTAATTTTCTGTTCATTTAATCAGCTGGAGATACTGTAATGAGTACTAGTTGAGGTAAAAGTTGACTCATGTAGTAAATTGTCCCTACCAACTAATTTTTTTGTGATTAGAAACATGTAACTAACAACCTTAAGAGTTTGGTCTAGTTTCCCTGCAAGTGCCATTAACAAAGTGGTCTTCCCACAGCCTGGAGGCCCCAGTCATAGTGTCAACCTGCCAAAAACTATGTTTACGTGAGGTAATTTTGTTTTACAAAGAAGACAACAAAGAATTAATTAGCGCTAATGATAACCTTGAAGGCTTGATGATGCCACGGACATCTTGAAGAATTTTGATCCTATTTGCATGAGAATTGCGTCCAACAATATTTGTGATAGCCTGTTCAACATTATACATCTGTTTTAGTGTCCAATGACCAACAATTCTGGTATAGAAAAATATGCTAAACTGTCAGCTTTGGATGTATTGCATTGCACAAAAACTGTGGTAAAAGTATTTTTCTTACCTAAACTTCTGAGTCATATAAGCAACTGAATTTTACTCACTTTCTAAAGACATTTTTAATAGTTATTTTTTCAATTCAAAGAACGGTCCGACAAACTGCTTAAGCTAAAAATAAAGTTGAAAGGCAGGATTTGATAATATAGGGCAGAGAATTGTGTAAGAGGCCTCTCGTCTCTCTCTTTCTTTTTTTTTTTTTTCTTTTTTTTTTTTTTTAATGGATGTATCTGAAACTTGGAGACCAGGAAACGGAAAAATAAAAACAAATTACTGAACTTCATTTTTTAATGTTTGCCTTGGAAAGTTAAAGGGAAAAATATGAAAGAGAAAAGGAGGAATGTTTGTGACTTTGAATAATTCTATTTTTCTTGTAGAACAACGAGGAAACACCGGAAGTTGTGAGGAAAGAAAATACAAATCTTCATGACGAGTTCTCATCTTAGAAGGACAAATCAAAATAATAAGAAACAAATAGTTAGAATAGCAACATGGTATCTAGGAACATTAACTGGTAAGAAGAATTAATTTATACAGTTGTAATGAGAATGTTTGTTTAAGTGATATGAGTGTTTACTTGGAATAGAGAATGGAATATAAAGTTCATGTTTCTAACCCCATTCATAACGATGATGATGAAACAGAGTATTCTGTTTAAAAAAGATTAGAAAAAAAGCGAAAGAAAACCACTTCCACTGACAATGCTTTTTAGGGTGTTCCATAATGTTGGGAAGGGCTTCCCATGAACTACTTCACAGTCTGCTTCTACAAACAAATTCTGGTATCTCACTTCCACAGTGGGCAATTCCAGTCCAACTCTGAAGAGCGAAGGACAAATTCATTCTATTATATACATAATAACTGCATGTATGAACCTATTTCTTTTACTAGAGACTTGTGATATATTGTATGATTTGTGCATATAAAAGACCAGGTTTTCTGCGCTCATAGCAAGTACCTATTTCTTTTACTAGAGACTTGTGATGGAGTCCTGCCTTCTAATCTAGGCATTAAATAACAAAGACATACATTGGTTTATGTCCTTTCTATAATGGGTGTTGGAGTGTGACTAATTTTTTCATTATTATGCACAAGAGTCCTGCTGCTTCGTCCGAATTCGGCCCAGAAATAATTTAATTTTCCTATGCACAAAGCAGCTGCTCTCAAGACTTGAATTCGTGTTCTTGCACTTTTCAATTTGAGGCTTTAGCATTTTACCAAGTAATGACCCGTTAGTCTAATTATTAAAACAAAAAAAAATTGAAGGTACCGATCACAAGTTCAGGTAAAGATAGGTTCACAATTAATTATTATTATTATTATTATTTTTTCTTTCTATGCAATATGCATGAATGACTATAACTATGACTACGAGTATGACTATGAATGAACAATATATTTAAGGGTAGAAATTAAAGGATGGACAAAATTAAATGATTTATGTTTTCCTGTCAATTCTCTCTCATTTTTCGTAACAACTGGTGATTATCTTGCTCGATTTTCTTTAAGAGCTTCTCAATGAATACATGCCGTTCTAGAGCTCCAAGGTTGGCGATGTCAATCGCTGCCTTACTCATCTCCCCTTCCTTGCCGAATAATCATGTTCTCTAAGTCTTTTGTACGTGGGTAATCTTTCAATTGCAGCCCACTGCAACTCTATTTCGTCGTCATTTTCTCTAAATGGCATTTCATCTAAAGTAAGATTACTATTATTACTCTTCAAACTTGATGCCTGCAGGTGACCAAAGGACGATCTGCTGTTCCTTTCCATCTCTGCCAGCTCTATACTGAGGAATTCTGTGTTATCTGATCTTTCTGTATGCTCTGCCATTCTCTTTTTTTCGTTGACTATATTATAATGTAATGTTGCTTCTTCGCAACTTTGAGTTGTACAGCAAAGGCATGCATTTATAGAATTCTGACTCCCATGTTTGCATGTGTTAGTTTTCTATTGTGGTACTCTTCTCTATATATATATGTATGAGCGTACAGCTCATAAACGGAACAAACATCCGTAGTAGGCTAGTAGCCATTTTGCCTGTAAGTATAGGCAAATTAACTCTGCTGAATAAACAATAGACACACTTATGCATGCAGTGATCTTGATTTTTTCGTAATTAATTAACCTTCGTTTTGTTCAATGTATGCTAAATTTAATGATCACATGACAGTGCTGTGGAAAATTTACGGCTTGAGCATGAGTTGTAGATCTATTTGTAGATGAGAAAGAATACTTACTTTTACAACTCATATTTGGATGGATTTGTGTGTCTGCACTCTCTTAGAAGCTCTCCGTATCTTGAACCATACTCACATGTGGTTTTGACAAATTACACGCTGGTAAATCATTTAACGTTTGTTATTTTGACCATTTCTGAGATTTGGCGACACTCCCTAGCCTTCTTTTTTCAACAGATAATATTGCCAGTCCTTTTATGAAAAACAGGGAATTACTGACTTTTCACACAAAGTCAAAATAATAATTGTTTAACATTCTATTTGTGTGTAATTTGCTCTAATATGAAAGTTCTTTGTAAATTTGTAAGTGACTCTAAATTTTATTGTTAAACGAGAAATGTAAAAATGAAATAAAAATGTGAATGAAAATGAGTTTGCATGCTTATTGCATTTTGGTTTGGATGTTACTAGGATACATATGCACACATAATTGAATACATGCACGTATTATATATAAATGAGTTTGAATGCTTGAGTCAATTTTAGAACTATTTTAAATGTCGAAGTGCCTTCAAAAGTGAGAAATTATTGAATGATTTTGGTCTATTTAACATTTGGTGGACTAATTTAATGAAAGTCTTTCAATCATGACACTTTATAATATATTAATATACTCTTGTAAATATATATATATATATTTTGTTAATCTCGAAGTTTGTATTTAATCGGTCCTCCAATTGTCATCTAGTAATTTCTCCTTCAAAGTACCTAAACATATAGATATGTGGACTAAAATCATATTTATATATACACACACATATTCAATTATTTTTCGATGTTGCTTAATGAAAAGTCCGTAAAATAAATAAAATAATAATAATTATTATTAAAAAAAAAAAAAAAATTTGAAGTCGTTGTTTGAATATAAAAGCAGGCTCTTTGTCGAAATAATATTAAGATTAAATCTGCCTTTGTTCTTTTTCTCCTAACATCTTATATATAGGTTGTATATATGGCACTGCATACACTTTTTATTTTTATTTAGTCATTGATTTTCGTTTAGACCTAGAATTGGGTGATCTATTTTATATTCCTCATGGTTTGCATTTTTATGAATAAATAATAAGATACCTTAAGAACAGATTGTCTATACTTGCTTTTTTGGTTTCTCAAGATTTGGTCAACTTTATACTTTAATAACGTACTTATTCAACATTATATTCACTTAATTTTTTTTTTTTCTTGGTTTGTGAGTTCATACGAGATCTAAAATTACCGAAGAAAAAAATTAAAAATGAAAATAAAAATAAAAAGAGATGCAGCCACATAATTTCCTTATTTACAGGCAAAGAGCAGTTAAAATATGTGTTTTAATTGCTTTCAATCTACTATGGCACTATTGGCTGAGAAATAAATGGCCTTTTGATGTTGAGTGCTACTGATGATAGGAAATTGATGCAAGAGAATGATGAAAGCATAATTCAATCATCTATGTATGTAGAAAATCACAGATTACATTATAGATTAATAAAGATCACAATTTTTATTTATGTTGCTGTATCATCCACATGAACATATAACGCTATGAAACTTATACCAGATATTGTCCATGAACTGAAAACATACAAATCTCCATGACTTGTTAAACAGAAATGGACCAACTACACCCCAAAAGCCCACCACAAATCCTAGTGCCATACTAACATAGAACCAGTCCACTGCAAATCTATGGCCTGTTTTGTCTGCTCCATTTTCAATAGCAGATGGTGTATCATTAACACCGCAGTTGTTATTAACAGGAGGTCCACATAAACTGTTTCCAACATAACTGAATGCATCGAAACTTTGAAGTTGAGTGCTTGATGGTATTTTTCCACTCAAATTGTTGTAGGACAAGTTCAAGTGACTAAGAAATGTCAAACTTGACATGCTTGGAGGGATTTCACCAAAAAGATGATTCATGGAGAAATCAATGGCTTCTAGTTGTTCCATAGCACCAATATTCTTTGGAATTCTTCCTATCAAAAGATTATAAGACAAATTTAATGAATGAAGCCCTCAGAGACTCGTCAATTCCTCAGGGATCTCTCCTGATAAATTGTTATCTGAAAAATCCATGCTCGTAACCAGTTGAAGAATTGTGCTATATCCCGTCATTTGTCCTTTTATTACCAATAATGCATTCTCTAAAAAACCTTCAAAAGAGGATGAAAAGGTAGAATTAGACAGGTATAACATTTTTCTGCTTGACTTTTGTTGTATGGCCATAGAGCAAAAATTCATGAAACATGCTGGTATACTTCCCGAAAAATTATTATGTTCAAGGTCCAAGATTTGAAGTGAACTGAGTGCACAAAGTTTCTTAGGAATATGGCTTAGAAACTTATTTGATCTTAGGATTAGAATCTTGAGATTTGAAAGCCTTTCTCCAATCCATGTGGGTATACTTCCTGAAAATTCATTTTCACCAAAATCAATAGCCACTAAGCTTGTGCAATTTTGCAGCGACAGAGGTAATTCCCCAGATAGGCTATTGTTTCGTAAATGCAACGATTTGAGAAAATCTAGAGATCCCATGGAGCTTGGGATTTTGCCGCTTAGATTGTTATTTGCTAAATTTATGAACTCCAATCTATTGCAGCTTGTCCAACAGTTTGGCAATTCTCCTGACAAAAGATTTCTTTCCAGATTAAGAAGTTGCAGGTTCTTAGATTCATCCATCTTATAGCACAGAAATTGAGAAATAGATCCAGAAAATAAATTGTTCGAAAGATCCAGTGTCTATATATTTGACGACAAACGAGGTAATGTACCATTAAAGTGGTTGGAACTTAAGTCAATTGCACTGAATGGCACAGATGTGGCTAAAAACTCATCTACAATCTCACCATGGATATGATTGTGAGAGATATTTAAATAGATAATTTGAGATGATAAGCTCCAAAACCACCTAGGAATGGTATCCGAAATTCCAGTACGTGATATGTCTAGAATCTCTAAATTTTTCTGTGAGTGAAGCCAATGGGGAAATTGTGGACCTAACCGACATGACCTGAATGACAATTCCCAAAGTTGGAATGGAGGAACCCAATTTGAACTGACACTCAAGAACAATTGATTCCCAGATCCATCGAGATACCTCAATCGTGTGAGGTTGGTGAAGTGGACTTCAGAGATGACACATTGTAATGAATTTTGTGACACAGAAAAACTCTCTAGATGTGCAAGTTCACCAAGACTTTCAGGGAGAGGTCCAGAAAGAGAATTATTAGAAAGATCAAGGCTAACCAATTTTTTAGATTTTTGAAGTTCGGGAAAATGGCCCCAAAGTTTATTGGAGCTTAAATCTAGAGTTTCTATTTCATCTAAAATGCAACTAGACAAAATGTTTGAAATCTCCAGTATATCACCGCTCAAGTTATTCTCGTAAAGTTTGAGTACTTTCAAGTTGCAAAGATTTTCAAAGGATCTTGGCAATCCCCCTGTGAAGAAATTCCATGACAGATCAAGATATTCAAGATGACTGAAATTAGATAGCCACTCAGGTATTGTAGAATTGAAGAGATTGGAGGACAGATCAAGGTGTTTAAGAAGGCTAAAATTAGATAGCCACTCAGGAATTGTAGAATTGAAAAGATTGGAGGACAAATCAAGGTATTCAAGGCGGCTAAAACTAGATAGTCAATCAGGTGTTGTAGAATTGAAGAGATTGTAGGAAAGATCAAGATATCTAAGAAAGGTGATGTTTCTCAGACCGCTTGGAATTGATATATGTAAACCACATGATCTCAAACCGAGATGATCAAGGCCATGAAGACTAAGCAGCCAATCAGGTGGGATGAAGGATTCAAAAGGGTTTTCAGAAAGATCAAGGACGGCAAGAGAAGTAAAATTAAGAATATGTAAAGGAGGAAAGTGATGAATCCCGCAATAGACCAAGTGTAACTCTACCAAAGAAGGGAGCATGTTGATTTCATGTGCTTTGCTGAGGTTCACGTACTCCAGATCAAGGTGCTGCAACAAGGAACTACCAGAAATCCATTGAAGAGTATGAGCATATAGATTGCCCCAACCTTCAAGTCTGAGATGGTGCAAATTGGAGAGGTTCCCCAGTTGATGAGGAATCACTCCTTCAAAATCTCCCCTAAGATCAAGGGAGTGCAAATTGGAGAGGTTCCCCAGTTGATGAGGAAACACTCCTTCAAAACCTCCCCAAAGATCAAGGAAGTGCAACCCAGAGAGGTTTTCTAGTTGAGTTGGGATGACACCTCCAAATCCAGCAAAGGAGAGATTAAGATATCTTAAGCTCCCAAAGGAACCAATGAAGCTTGGAATCTGAATCCCATTAAAATTGTTGCCGCTAAGATCCAAGTAAGTCAGATGCTTCAAATCCTGTAAGGATGGGTTTAGCTTACCTCCCAGAATAGATGCTTCAAAAGCTTCATATTCATCATTACTTAGATATTGGACATTGAATATAGCGTCAAGAAAAGGATTTTGAAGGTGGAGCTCCTGGACATTGCCTGTTAAATTGTTACAGACAACTCCAACCCATTCGCAACAGTTCCCTCCTGATTGATCAGCAACCCATGAGAAGAGACGATTTGAAGGATCACTTAGATCTTGCTTGAATTTCAGAAGGGCTCGTCTTTCATTCTCCACGCAAACCACATGATGAGAGCTGTTGTTTCCACTACAAAAGACCACAATTGTATCAAAAGTTAGTACTACCGAAGTAATCAGAAACACAATTGCAAGATTAATGCTAACATCTGTCATGGATTTTGCCATAATCATGCAAGGATATGAGCAACAGCTAGTAACTAATACTAGCTATATATATATATATTGAACTTATAATACTATATCAAAAGATTTTATATATATTGATGATGATGATGGATGAGAATGGAATTGAAGGAAGATGTGGAATGTATTTATAGCAGCAGGTGGCAGGTGCGAACCATCAAGGGAAGTTTCCTAGTAACCACATACTGTCTTGACTCTCTTTTCATAAAGTCTTTTGCGTGTTGACTCTCTTTATAACCCCACCAAAACCAACAAACACTTCATTAAACTATTCCCCTGTTTTGACTCTCTTTCAGTAATCCAGGGTGTTTTTACCAACTTCTAGAAAAATTTTAATTATTTTGAATACTTGCAATTACCCTTAAATTATTTGAATATTTGTAATCACTTCCAATTTAAGAGTAATAGGAAAATTCAAATGTAGGTTTAAATTTAAAGGTTTAGATTAAACTATAATTGCTAAGATCGTATGACTAAACTTTTTTTATTTATTTATTTTTTTATTTGAAGTTAAATGATTTTAATAGGTGTACACATGGAAATATTTACAATTCAAAATAACAGATAATCTTTTAGAATTATGAAAATAATTTACAATTCTATAAAACTTAATCATAAAAATAGTTTACAATTCTATAAAACTCTCTATTATTATTGAATATTTTCTACCGACAACAGTTTTTACGAGCTCTCTAATATACAAAATTTCAAACTCTCCAGCATTCCACAATATAAAATGTAAAATATATGTGACGTGCTAAAATACTCACTTGATTAACGAACGGGAAGCCGAAAGTAATTGTAATCAAATGTTTTTTTTTTCATCTTAACTCAAGCCTTTAATAGAATACAAAATGTGAATATTTATACATGAATATAATTCTCCAATATACTTTTATTTTTCTTTATTCAAAATTTTTATGTAAAGCTTTGTACAAGCAATCAAAAAAGTTTAAAATACAAAATGCATTTTTTTTATAATGTTTTACCCGAAACAAATGAAGCCTTTTGTTTGATGTTATCAATATGTAAGCTAGACAACAATATTTTAAGCAGCCTTATTGTTTTCTAGTCATTTTATGAACATATTTAATATCAACAGCCAATAAGTTCAACCGAAGCCAAACTGTGGTTTTTATTTTATTTTAGGATTTACTACTTTAATATTTTGCAATTGGGAATTTGGGATATAAGAAAATTGAGTAAATTCCACGTCATCTGATTTAGCTATCTATCTTCGGTTTTGGAAGTGGTGACACTGGAAATCAGTAGTTCTTATTTTGAAAAATTCTTATGAGACTTGCAAAGTCAAGTGATAATAAAAAAATAATAATAATTTGATCATATAATTCTTGTTTGTATCAATTTTTTTTTTTAATGACATAAATTATACAATATATTTATATCACTTTTTTTTATGACATAAATTACACAATATTTTCTAACTTCTCTTCTACTCCTAATTTTTTTTTGAATTGCAACAGTATAATAACAAATACTGTTTTTGACATGAAAAATGTCAAAACACAATACAATTCCTAACAAAATATGTCAAAGCACTGATTTTAAGGCGCATGTTCTTCTTCGAATCGCATGAGCCTCTCCTCAATTATTTCAAAATCCATAAATAATTAATGGTAGGGAGTTTATCTCCAAAATCATTATCCTAAAACGGTAGAATGAGATGTTGTTCAATATCTTTTGCTTATGAGTAATGATAGGGATCTGAGCCCACCACCTAAACCCTACACCACCACTGTCATCTGAAGTTGCAATTCAAATTTTTTTTGAGAAACCAGTGCTTTGACAATTCTATAAAACTTAATCGCTACCATTTTTCTAAATACTTTAGAGTTTTTGCAATTGCGAAGTCTTTGTTAGACATAACGGCTATGTCGAAAGTCTTTGCGTGTAATCTAGGCAACCCGCTTCTATAATTCCACATAAAAAATTTATTTCATTTCAACGTGCCGTTTAAGTTTTAAACAAACAGCCACTACTTAATTGGAGTCTTTCGTAGAACAAAGTAAGATGAGATCATGATATAAGTGTGTGACAATTTCTACCACTTCATTGACTTGGATGGCGATGGTTAATTCTACTTCTTATGTTCTGTTTTGTGACAAATTTGGAGTCATACCCTACTGTGCAAAGTTGGGTACAAATAATTGACGTTATGTGATTGACCAAGACCACATAGTCCTACACTACCTACTAATTTTTCCCGAATAAGGTCCAATGATTATGGAATAATTTCTAATATCTCAGTGACTCTTAATAAAAATAAAACTAGTGTTTCATTATGGTGTCCAATCACTTCACAGTAAGAGTGTTTCCTCATAATTTTTTCTTTTCAAATTTTCTCTACACGTAATGTGATCGATATTTTCTGAAGCAATCTTTCTACAAAATTGTCAAATTTTCTTAACAAAATAGGCTCCATCGGGTGCTAGGGACGTAATTGTTATAGGACGATATATGTCACAATGGGATCCATATCACTCACTAGCTATTTTCCCTATTGCGTCGAAGACTTTGCAATTGCAAAGTCTTTGGATTATATATATTAGACGCGACCTCTTTAACCTCTTTGCAGAAAGTCTTCGCGTGTGATGCGGGCAAAAGGCTTCCATAATTCCACATAAAGTCTTTTGTGTGTTGTCCCACCAAAACCAATGAACACTTATTATTCCCCTCTTTGAACTCTGTTTTGACTCTATTTCACAAGGCTTTGGATTATATATATATTAGACGTGACCTCTTTTCCCTCTTTGCAGAATGTCTTTGCGTATGATGCGGGCAAAATGCTTCCATAATTCCACATAAAGTCTTTTGCGTGTTGTCCCACCAAAACCAACGAACACTTCATTAAATTATTCCCCTCTTTAAACTCTGTTTTGACTCTGTTTCACAGGGCCTTTTGTAGTCGTATTTCAAATTAGGCACAGTGCTTTAAAAAATACTTTCTTTCATGTACGAGGATATGAGTTCCACCTACACCCATCAATAACTAACTAATGCAAAATGACCAATTAAAATGTTCAAATTTTGTTATCACACAAGCTTAACTAATCTTTTCATAACAAATACATTTTTTTTTTTTTAATATAAGGGCACGACTCGTGGATATGAGCTCCTAATAATTTTCTTTCGGTATTCAAGGGTGTTTTTATAACAAATACCTATTGTTCAGTAAAAGGGAAAATAAGAGGGGAGAAAAAACATAGAAAATAATACTTTTCTATATTTTCTTGAAAAATGAATAATAAACTACTTAAATGTTCATTTAGAACCCTCAAATTTTACTTATATATAATAAAATTTTAAACTTATTATTATTATTATTATTTCCACACCCCTTCAAAGAATTATTTGTGCCTACCAAGATTCTATCCTGATTATTTACTATATTTATAAGTAGGTGGTTTCATTGAACAATTTGATTTGTTGGGTGCCAGTAATTAAAATCACAATGGTGTTTTTGTATCCATTTTCAATTTGGTATATGAAGTTCATTCTAAAAATAATTTATTTATTGATGTATTTTTATTTGATGTATGAGACATGCTATTATTTTAGTGGGTATTTGAATTATCATTTGCTTAGGCTAGAGAATTCAACACCACCACAGCCTGCGCGAGTGACTCAATATATAAGTGATCTTTTGAGACAAATTGTAAACTCTAATGTATTAATTTCAACTCTAACAGAATGCAAAATATCTGAACTTGAACGATGCACATAATTTGCAGACGATTACGCATATTTAAATAAATAAAATAAAGCAAATGATAAAGTCGAACGTGTTAATTTTGATTTCCAATAAGATTCATCTCATTCATTGGCTACGATCTTTCCAATTGCACCAAGGTCTTCACAACTGCAAAGTCTACCCATATAAGTTAGACATGACTGTTTTGCCAAAAGTCTTTACGTGTGATCCGGGCAAAACGCTTACATAATTCCATTTTAAGTCTCCATTGTTACACGGAATATAGATTTTAAGTCTCCATTGACGTCTTAATTATGATTTCTTGGTTTGATATTGAAATTCATGGACCAAAGTAAAATGAGATATTGATACAAGTGTATGACAACCTTTACCACTTCATTGACTTGGCTGGAAAATTGCTAATTCTATATATTATTATTTTCTGTCAGTGATAAACTTGGATTCATAGGTGCAAGGTTGGGAGAAAAACTTAATTGAGCAGGTTGGAGCGAGGATATGGTATTACTAGCTTATTAAATATTGTCATGTAGTGATGAGACTCACTAAAATAAAATATTTTTATTTAGGTGATATGATACAATTGGTTGATGGCACAAACAACGAAGTATTAAAGGTGCAAGAAAGTTTTTCTCTAAGTTGGATATATATAAGCGTTTCTTGATTGGTTAGGACCACATGATTCCGAACCACTTAATAATTCAATCTTCCTATGCAAAACTCAAATTTTATTAATGAAATAGAACCCATTCTCTACAGACAGGTGTTAAGAACGTAATTGTCATCCAATGATATATCGATATCACAATGGGATCCATCTCACTTACTCGTTATTATCTTCCTAGTTACACCAAAGTCTTCCTAATTCCAGAAAGTCTTTGTGCGTGGTGCAGACGTTATTATCTTCCTAGTTACACCAAAATCTTTCCAATTCCAAAACGCCTTTGTTCGTGGCGCAGACAAAACGCTTCCATCCATTTCAAGTTTGAAAATATATGGTCTTTGGATTTGCATAAATGAAAGGACCACAAACCCTCATTTTTCGTGTCCATCATTCCATAACTTGCATACTTCATTAGTTCCATGGAATATATATATATATTTCATTTTAGCATTTAGTTTAAGTTTTTATTCATACAGCCACTATTTAATAGGGCTCTTTATTACAATTTCATAATTTGAAATTGCAATTTGTGGGACAAAGTAATATGAAATGATGATAGATGTATGACAATATGACAAATTAAATTTTTAAGAT